AAAGTATTCAATTGTTAGTACTTGATTCAGCGCTACAACAAACAGCAGAAACCTGCTGCAGCTTTAGATGCTTTGTTTTAGCAAACTACTGTTTATCTCTCAGCACTGCTGCTTAGCTTTTGAATACAGCATTCTTCCAAAGATCTATACCCTGTGACAAAAAGCAGGTAGGAATCCTGGCTGCAACTTTGTTATAAAAAAGCTTGTGAGAGAAAATATTTGATAAAGATACAAGTGATAAATATGCCAAGAACCCTTAAAACTCAACAGTAAAAAACAACCTGATTTTAAAAAGGGCAAAGCACCTGGACAGCCACTTCACCAAAGAAGATATACAGATGGCAAGTAAGCCATGATGTTCAACATCATTTGTCATCAAGGAAATGCAAATTAAAATTATAAGACACAACTACACACCTATTCAAATGGCCAAAATACAAACAGTGACAACACCAAATGCTGACAAGGATGTAGAGCAACAAAAACTATCATTCACTGCTGGTGGAAATGCAAAGTAGTACAGCCATCTTGGAAGACAGTTTGGCAATTTCTTTTTTATTTTTATGTTTGTTTGTTTGTTTGTTTGTTTGTTTGTTTGTTTCGTGATAGAGCATGAGTCAGGGAGGGGCAGGGAGAGGTGAGAGGGAATCCCAAGCAGGCTCTGCACTGTCAGCACAGAGCCTCCAACCCATGAACTGTTGAGAGATCATGACCTGAGTTGAAATCAAGAGTCAGATGCTTAACCGACTGAGCCCCCCAGGTGCGCCCAGTTTGACAGTTTCTTTTTTTTTTTTAAGTTTATTTATTTTGAGAGAGAAAGAACTCGAGCCGGGGAGGGACAGAGAGGAAGACAGAGAATTCAAGCAGGCTCCGCACTGTCAGTGCAGAGCACAACATGGGACTTGAACCCATCAATTGTGAGATCATGCCCTGAGCTAAAATCAAGAGTTAGACACTTAACCGACTGAGCCACCCAGGTGCCCCCAATTTGGCAGTTTCTTACAAAACTAAACATACTCTTACTGTGCAACCCAGCAATCATGCTCCTGGGAATTTACTCACATAAACTGAAAACTTATGCCCACACAAAAACCTGCACACAGGTTCATAGCAGTTTCATTAATGATTGCCATGACTTGAAAAGACTCATCCTCCAGTAGGTGAGTGAATAAAGAAACTATGGCACATCCAGACATTAAATATTATTCAGCACTAAAAAGAACTGAGCTATCAAGCCATGACAAGACATGGAGGAAACTTAAATGCATAGTACATGTGAGAGAAGCCAATGTGAAAAGGCAGCATACTGTATGATTCCAGCTATATGACATTCTGGAAAAGGCAAAACTATGGAAGCAGTAAAACGATCAATGGCTACCAGAGTTTTGGGGGTGGGAGGGAAGGACAGGCAAGTAGGCAGAGCACAGAGGGATTTTAGGACAGTGAAACCATTCTGTATGGTACTGCAATGATGGATACACGGTATTATATATTTGTCAAAACCCATAGAATGGACGACACCAAGAGTGAACCCCTAATCTAACCTGTACACTATAGGCGATCATGATGAGTCAATGTAGGTTCATCAGAAGTAATTAATGTAACCACTGTGGTGCAGGGTGTCTATAGCAGGGGGAAGTCGTGCCTGTATAAAGGTAGGGGTATACTTTCTGCTATACTTTGCGTTCTTTTGGCTGGGAACCTAAAATTGCTCTTAGTTAAGCAATATGACAGGGGACCAGGCGGGTCTGAGAGATGAGCCTGGCAGAAGAGATGAGGAAATCATAAAAGTTTGGACAGACAAAAGGCAATATAGAGAGGCAATCAAGGACAGAGTGATCAGCGGGTACTGTTCAGGTCTACACAGACAAGAGGCAGTCGATGAAAGTGGGGAGAAAAAAACAAATACTGGGTCTGGATAGACAGGCAGCATATTAGAGGAAATAGTACCGGCGAGTGGAATTGGTAGGCTCTGATCCCAGAGCAGAACTCTACTCTTTGCCCTGTTCTAAACATTCTTCTGGGGGGCAGGGTTCCATAATGGCTTATTCTGAGTGAGAAGACAGAGAGATACCAGGTTAAATCAGAGTCTCCACTATTCTCTCCTTCCTTCTCTGTTTTATTTCTTTGTCAAAGTTCTGGCCACTGATCTACTATAAGAAAACTAGTATTAGTTCCAGAAAAATGAAGGGCTTCAGAGGAAGCCTCAGCAAAAAGGAACCTGATAAAGTATCCTTCACTGAACTGTTCACTCCTTAAGAACAGAAGCCCAACTATAAAAGTCTTAACTGATAAAGCAAAGTTACTCCTTACGTAAGCACATTAGCAATGGAATTATCCTAGGGGAGGTTAATTCAGTGACAAGTTTTTTGTTTGTTTTCTTACCCTTTTACCAACCTCTCCCTATTTGCCCCACTCACCACCCTGGCAAACCACTTTTCTACTCTCTTGTTTCTGAGTTTGGCTTTTTATTTAGATTCCACATGTGAGTGATACCCTGCAGTATTTGTTTTTCTTTGTTGGGATGATTTCATTTAGCATAACGCCCTCAAGTTCCATCCATGTTGTCATAAAAAGCAAGATTTCCTTCTTTCTGGACAATTAGGTTGTTTCCATCATTTGGCTATTGTGATTCAATGATGCAGTGAGCATGGGAGTGCAGATCCCTCAACACCCTCTTTTTATTTTCTTTGAACATATCCCCTGAAGTGGGATTGCTGGACCACACGATAGTTCTGGTTCTAGTTTTTTGAGGAACTTTCATGCTATTTCCCATCGTGACAGATTCTTTTCATCTGTCTGCTCTGTTGTCCTGGCTTGCTCTCTGTGGCCAGTTCCCCTCATGTCACGAAAGGGTGAGCGCTGCAGTATCAGGCATTACAGGAAGACTCAGTAATATGAGGGATGAAGAGAAACTATTTCTACTGTGTGTGTTTTTCATCATTAGAAAAACTTTCCTTCCAGTCACGAAACGACAAATATTGTACAATTCCACTTATAGGAAGTAAGGACTTAGAGGAGTTAAATTCATAGAGACGAAAAGCAGGATGGTGGTTTCAGGGCGGAGGAGAGGGGAGAATGTGCAGTACAGGGTTTCAATGGGTACATGGTTTCAGTTGGGGAAGATGAAAATGTTCTGGAGGTGGATGGTGGTGATGACTGGGCAACAGTATAAATGTGCTTAATGCCACAGAGATGTACACTTAAAAAAGGTTAAAAAATGGTTACATTTTAAAAATTAAGATTTAATTGACATATAACATTAGTTTCAAGTGTACAGCCTAATCATTCAATATAAATATATATTGTGAAATAATCACCACAATAAGTCTAGTTAACATCCATCACCACACATAGTTACAAACTTTTCCTTTCTTTTTCTCTTTCTTTCTTTCTTTCTTTCTTTCTTTCTTTCTTTCTTTTCTTTCTTTCTTTCCTTCTTTCTTTTTGTTTTTAAAAAGTTTTGTTTATTTAAGTAATCTCTACACCCAACGTGGGGCTCAAACCCATGACCCCAAGATCGAGTCACATGCTCTTCTGACTGAGCCAACCAGGCACCCCCAAACTTTCTTCTTGATATGAGAACTTTTAAGAGCTACTTTCTTAGCAACATTCACATATACAATACAATATTGTTAACTATAGTCTGTATGCTGCTTATTACATCCCCAGGACTTATTTATTTTACAGGTAGAAGTTTGTACCTTTTTGTACAAAAAGGGGGTATACTACCTTCACCCAATTTGTCCATCCCCACCAAAAATGGTAAATTTTGTTATATGTTTTATAACAAGTAAAAATAAGCCTTTCTCAGAAATCCCATAGTAGACTTTCTCTCACATTTCGTAGGCCAGAATTCTGCCACCTGCCTATTCCTAAACTAATGATAACGGCAACAATAGTGAAATTACTATGATTGACTTAATCTAATCAAGATTCACCCCCCTTGTGACTGGGGAGGGGTCCAGCCTCCCCAGAAGCACATGGCTGCCCAATACTTGAACAATATTTGAATTCTGTTGAGATAAGTGAACAAATTATTCATCAAATAAGTAAATCCATGACCTGGGTCTTATTAGTTCAAATGTTATGGTTTTTTTTTTTAATTGTTGTTTTTCTTTTCCTCACATGACTTTTGCTTAAGGCATATCCACTCATTATTTCCTGACCACATCATGTACCTTGCCTCTCTGATTTTGCTCATGTAATTTCTCGTTTTAAAATACCCTTTCTCTCTTCTCTGATAATCAGACACCTACATTTCCTTTAAGGCTAAGCCCAAATCCTACCTTCAGTGTGAGCATTTCTCAATTATCCAAGACTTCGGTGACTTAGTCTCTCATTTATGATTTTTATGGTCTGTACCTATTAAGTGCACAACATTTTATATATACATTTTCTTTTTAAGTATATGTCCTTTATTCCCAATTAGAATGTAAACATGTTGAATTCAGGAATCCTGTTTGATGTCTGTTTCCATTTTCAACACTTAATCTAATACTAGAAGCTCTCAATGAATATTTATTAGTTTCTAAGGATGATTAGATTTTTAGCATTGGTATATCAAAAGGTCTGGGGCTCTCTTTAAACCTCATTTAGATTATAACTAATTAAGCTGTTAAAATTTGAGAGTAATATTTCCATCAAATTTAATCCTAGTATATGTACATATTTGTATACCCATATATACATTTATCAGAATATACATAGAGCCACAATTACATCTGATGGTTGTGCTATGTTGATGTACTACAGCTCACTTTACAAAGACAAACATTATAGTGGGTTCTAGGACACCTGTGTTCACAAGATCAGTTCTCTGAAACTATATTTGGATGTACAAGCTATTAAAAGCTTCTTGTACTGAGTGACCTTTGAGGCAGAATTCAGATCAAATAGTCACACAAGCTGCTGCTTGTTGCTGAGTGGAAGACAGCAGAAAACCTTCCATTAGGTTTTTATTTTCCTTGTTTTGTTTCCTTTCATTTTGCCTTAAGAAGATGAACAATGAAACCACAACCCTGATATCCTTGAAGGAGGCAATGAAAAGGTTGCTAAGGGCTACAGGGCGGGAACAAGCATAGGTCTGCTTTTCTGGGAAGATGGGTAAGAGAAGAATAAGGAATAAAAATAGGCAAAGAAGTATAGACATGCTAATTAAAATTCTGTGTCTGTTTAAAGTGGTTTAAGTCTTCCAGGTTAAAATATATATATTTACTATATATATTTAACATATATATTTAAACACATACATTTAACATATATATTAAATATATATTTAACTTCCATATATATGTGTAAACAATAAAGAAAAATACACTCCCAGGTGAATTCCATTCAATTAATGTATGTGCTATATTCTAGGTATACAAAATTAGTAAAATGTGGTTTCTATCCTCAAGGATCTCAAAGCCTATAGAGAGAATTATTCAAAAATACTTAGAATTTAATGTGATTGACCTTGTAATGGTGATGTTCATAAAGGGCTATGAGGACGGAAGAGAGATCAATTTATTTGCCTTTGACACCAGAAAAAGGAACCCTTCATAGAGGGACATTTATTATTTTTTTAAATTTTTTTTTAACGTTTATTTATTTTTGA